AGTCTTTACGCGTTCCTTGACAAGGACAGACGTCTTTTTCTTTTGACACCGTTTTAATCGAAGGGCAAGGTAAATTAACCTTTATACCTAATAGGTCGTATATGCCATATAGTGTTACCAATTTAGTTTCTTGTAAATGTCACAATAAACGTTGTTATTGTATGTACGATTTATTAAGTTATCAATATATACGTGTCTAAATATGTGTGGAGATTATAATTGGGTGTTATTGAAAGTTCTTTTCAATCAGCTATTTGCTTTTTAAATGTTTTTGATAAGATAAAAAGTAAAAAGTGCACGGCAACAATACATACTGTTAATGATTATTTTAATCTATATTTTTTTTCAATTCGGTCTTTGTTAATTAAATATAACACTGAAGTGACAAACAAAGTTACACTCTATCTGATGGTAAGTGGCTTCTGCAGTCCATGGACACCAACGTGGACATAAACTTGGTAGAGCCACGCTGCAGCTATTTTAATAGTATAGTTGTAGCACGAATGGGTCGGCTCGACCGAGGAAGGACCACGGTCTCACAGAATACCATCGTAAAATAGCAGCTGAATGCTGCTGTGTTTTGTATGGTGAGTGGAAAAAACCGAAGACCCTTTTTTACTGAAAAAGAGGCATTCTATGTTAGACCTCACGGCTGACAACGCATCTGCATTTTAATTCGTAAACGAAGATAGATGTAGATGTCTTTGGGCCACAGCAACGATTTACCATCAGGCGGACTGTGTGCTCGTTTGTCACTCATATTCTATAAAAAAAAAACAGCAACCGATTTCAAACAAATAAAACTAAAAACGTGTTGTGGTTTCTTGAGATATTATAATGTCTTACAGCTGGTAATTATGATGACCTTCCATACCCATCAAATCGAATACACAGCTGTGCATGCACTGCTATTTGACGGCAGAAAGATGTAAGAAGCTGGTACCTACCCAAACGGACTCATTAACAGAAAAAGAGTACCTAGTAAAGTGTGAAAGTAATGGCTTAATATTGATATTGTTTATCTTTTTAACATATTTTTAAAAAAGTAGGATGTAGGTACCCAATTCAACTGTATTTTTTTGTGTGTTACCTCGGAACTTTTTTATAGGTAAACCGATTTTGATGATTCTTTCTTTATTTGAAAACTGGTGATTCTCATATGTGCTGTTGTCCCATATAAATTTGATCAAGATCTGACCAAAAGTTTGTGAGTTATCCTTACTAATGCGTATTTAATTGACTTCGACTACATTGATTATGATCTCATTTTATTTATATTGAAGTCGGTTGTAGAAAATTTTTAATTTTATCACTTTTATTTATACTGATGTCGGTTGTACAATTTATTTTATTCGAGCACTTCTTCTCTTCATATATTTGAAATATGCTTACATTAAAAATTAAAACGCACGGTAACTACATTAGCTAGTTGTATAAAAACGCTCTTTATACAGTATTTTCTGTGCCCCAAACACACTTCTCAAAATCAAATAAACCACAAGTGCAATATAACAAAGATACCTTCGCTTTTCTAAAGTCATATTGATGCAGTTAACAGTTATTTTTATGAGAATCACAAGTTGGAATCAAAAACAAAAACGACCTAGTGGCTTAGATGATAAAGTTCTACTTCATGTATATTTAAGATAATTACTTACCCATCAATTTAGCTTGACAACTACAATCGTATGGCATGGATGCATATGGCATTATTTTAGCACAGAGTACATTATATATTACAGACAATTTTAGTATCGAAAGATTTTAAAAGAAATCTTTTGCACAAGCTGTCACAAAATCGCGAAGCTAATTAAGTTTTAAACTAGAATCTGTTTGACGAAAGAAGTCCAGCGGAAATATGCGAAGTAAATTGTAAAGGATGGAATTCAATAATATTATCTAATATATAAAAAATAATGTTTGTTTGTTCGTGCTTTATGCGCTAAAACTTTGTTGACTTATTGCTTGCACTTGCGCGAAGGTTATAGGCATAGTTCAATCAACTTATAGAAGGTGGCGCGCGTATTGTAACATATAAATTTATATGAAAGTTATATATCATTCGATGAATATATTATCATTGCTAAGTAAATAATACCTAGTCAGGTCATAAGTATTGTCACACAGTAAAAACTTTTCTTTTAGAATGCTGGCCACAAAAAAAATTATTGAATTCGAATTTCGAATTGTTCATGAAAATAAAACTGTAGGTACCTATACTTTTTAGAATTTTACTCATTTTTAAATATGGAGTGGACGCTTAAAGAAGATCGTGTTGCAGTTATTGCGTTGTATCGTTGCGGTTACGCGCCAATTCAAATTTTTGACATACTGAAAAATTTGAATATAACCAAAAGATTCGTTTATCGTACCATCAAACGATACAATGAAGACTCTAGTGTAGATGACAGGTCAAGAAGTGGTCGCCCTCGGTCTGTTAGGACTCCAGCAGTGATAAATGCTGTGAAGGCGCGAATTCAAAGAAATCCCAAACGTAAGCAGAAACTGTTGGCCCTTCAAATGGGGTTAAGCAGAACCACGGTGAAAAGGGTGTTAAATGAAGACTTAGGGCTTCGGGCATATCGAAGAAAAATAGGGCATCGTTTGAATGCTCGTCTAATGGACCTGATACTGAAGAGATGCCGCGCTTTGTTGAAGCGGTACGCGGGAAAAAAATATCGGGAAATTCTTTTTTCGGATGAAAAATTTTTTACCGTAGAAGAGAGCTACAACAAACAAAATGATAAGGTGTACGCACACAGTAGTGAAGAAGCGAGCAACCGTATTCCGCGTGTCCAACGATGTAATTTTCCATCCTCGCTCATGGTGTAGTTGGGAGTTTCTTATTGGGGCTTAACAGAGGTACATTTTTGTGAGAAAGGTGTAAAAACGAATGCAGTTGTGTATCAAAATACAGTCCTGATGAACCTTGTGGAACCTGTTTCTCATACTATTTTCAATAACAGGCACTGAGTATTCCAACAAGATTCGGCGCCAGCTCATAGAGCGAAGAGCACACAAGACTGGCTGGCGGCGCGTGAAATCGACTTCATCCGGCACGAAGACTGGCCCTCCTCCAGTCCATATTTGAATCCGTTAGATTACAAGATATGGCAACACTTGGAGAAAAAGGCGTGCTCAAAGCCTCATCCCAATTTGGAGTCACTCAAAACATCCTTGATTAAGGCAGCCGCCGATATTGACATGGACCTCATTCGTGCTGCGATAGACGACTGGCCGCGCAGATTGAAGGCCTGTATTCAAAATCACGGAGGTCATTTTGAATAAACTTTAGTGTAATAAGAATCTATGTTTTGTTAAGTTCATTTTGGTATATAAATGGTTACATAATGAATAAACTTGTTTCAATTATTTTATATTAAACATGTGACAGAATTTATGACCTGACTAGGTATAACCCTTCCAAATTTAAAAAATTTGGCGGTAAACAGCGCCTGATTTAAGCCGAACATCCACCGCAAACTAAACTAACTTAGTTTATCTTAGCTCGCATAAGCTCACTTTTTTATACATGTGCGTCCACCGTAAACGAAATTAACTTAGTTAATCTTAGCTAGCATAGCTGAACCAGTATTTCATACATATGCGTCCACCGTAAACTAAAATAACTTAGTTTATCTTAGCTCGCATAGCCAAGACAGTTTTTCATACAAGTGCGTCCACCGTAAACTAAACTAACTTAGCATCCATCGCATTGTGTAGGCCGATCCGAAAAGCTAAGCGCCTCTCAACCCCTTACCCCTCTGGCGCCTTCCGCTTAGTGTTATTCGTTTTACCTTATTTTTTAGTGGACGTGCAAAGATTTTCCAGTTTAACTTAGCTTGCTTCGCTGAGCCTAGTTTTCACATAGTTAATTCGCAGTAGACGTTCGGCTTCAGAGTTCTGACAGCCCTAGACTAACTATTAATATATAAAGTAGTCCCTGACGGTAAATGTGTGAATAAAAACTTTAAACTGACTGTAACGATTCTGATTTTTTTTTAAAGGACAAGGGTGACAAACGAACACACAGTCCACCTGATGGTAAGTGGTTTCCGCGGCCCATAGACATCTACATGTATCCTTGATTACGGATCAAAATGCAGATGCGTTGTCACCTGTGAGGACTAAGATGGAAGTCTAATTTCCAACACAGCAGCATTAAGTTTCTATTTTACGTTGGTATTCTGTGAGAGCGTGGTCCTTCCCCGGTCGAGCCGACCCACTCGTGCTACAACTATAATATAGTTGCAGCACAGAGTAAAGAAGACCAGAGGGTAAGCTTTCTAACAACGTCGAAAATCTATACCTATTCTGATAGGGTTATCACCTGATGCAAGTGAAAATTTTAAGGAAAAATTAAAAATATTATATTGTATAAAATAACATGTGTACTCATTTTATAACATGTCTGTTATTTGTAATAAAAATTTAAACTGCGAAAATTGTATATTTTGCTTATTTTCATGCTTAGTTTCACATTACACATACATATCTATACATATATACATATTAGTAATGACTGTGATGGTGGTAGTGGGCAGTGGTGGTGTTGATACACCACCACCACCAATGATACTAGTAGGATGATGGTGGCGGTAGTAAGGGCTGTGGTGGTGATGCTGGTCGTGGTGGTAGTGCCAGTGGCGGTCTACTGTCCACCACCACCACCAATGATACTACCAGCACCACCACAATCACCGACCCATTACCAGCACGTACAGCACCACCATCCACCGCTACCAAAACCGCACGATCAGCACCACCGTCGACCATCACCACCACCAGCACTACTACCACTAACACTAACTGCACCACTGTTTGGCTATTGTATTATTTTCTCTCGAATTTTTCATACATACTGTACAACTTAGGCATTTAGCTTATACGAACACTAATTATCTAATATAAATATATAATATAATGTCTTATTCTATAGTACACAATCTCTAAACTTAACTAAAAAAAAATTATAGATTTATTGATCTATAAAATCACGAAATATTATTCGTCTATTTATTTCAATGCGCGTGACCAACAGCCCTTTCATTCACGCTCTGACTGAGCCGGCGCAAACCGGTTTGTACCCTGACGGAGCGTCGGTGAACCTGTCGGTGAGAGCTACACGGGTACACCCACACATCGCTGCGCTATGTGTGGGTGTACCCGAAGCGAGACGTTTGTATGTAGCTTCCCCTCTGGTCGGTTTCTTTACTCATGTGGTTGCAGCGTGGCTCTACTACGTAAAAATGATGATGAAATTTTTTGTGTGTGTATGAGTGGCTATTTTAGATAAACAATTGGAATGGAGGTGGAGAAATGGAGGTCCAGAAATAACGTGCGAAGCCGGGGTGGATTGCTAGTGTATTAACAATAATGCTTGCCAGATGACTTGAAGAACCGACGCGTGGTCTTTCCTTGGTCATCTTAGCAAATTAAAGATGACGAGGCGTTATTGAGTCTATAACCTTATAATGTCTCGTCAGTGCATTAGGTGATAATGTTGGATATATTTATAGACTATTTATGTAAGATAGCCATAGAAACTATAGCAAGAAATAAGACTGCCTAGTTACTGTTGTAGAAATAAGGTATAGGAACATAGAATAAGGAAATTTTGTAAGAATATATATGTTGTATATACTTATATAATCTAAAAAAAAGAAAAATCAAGAAAAAAAATACAAAAGAAAAAATATGTAAATAGTCTAGTATATATAGACAAAATGCAAAACTATAAGAAAATATGTTAAGTAGTCTTAATGTAGTATAAGAATATGTACATCAGGGTCACCGTTGTATGCAAATGTATACACTGAGCTCGTCTAACAGGAAAAAACCTGGAATAAGATATTCCAAAAATGTTTCGCTAGGCAATGACTCTGACGAGTGTCAGAAGTGAAATAGAAAGACAAATAAAAAAAAATGTTGCATTCAGGAGTTTAGATCATTTGTATTGGCATTTCTTATCATATTTATACATAATATGTATAAATAAAATTGAAATGTCTGTCTGTAATATAGTAATAACTAATAACTATTTGTTTTTTTTAAACGTTACATCCACATTAGGTTGTTTTCCTGTATCGTGGGGGTAGTTTACATACATAAATTTCACATGAACAAATATTCAGGCCCGAAACAATTATTTGTATGCCATAAAAATACTTGTACCCTGCGGGATTCGAACCCGCGGCCCTTAGCACCGTAACTCAATGCTGAACCACTGCGTCACTGCTGGTAATTTATGTATGTAAACTGACGATATTGGAGAAAATTCTAGTGTCTAATATCGTTTCTTTTTTAAATAAAAAAAAATAAAGAAAGTAAAAACCCTAATTCAGAGAAAACCCACAGATGGCGCGTCTGCTGCTCGTGCTTTTACTGGTCGCGCTGGGAGCACCGGTCTACTACATCTTTTTCAAAAGCCCACCACCTCTACCAGATATCGACTTGAACGAATGGTGGGGCCCGGAGCAGATGAAGACCAAGCATGATACCAGTTTAAAGCCTTTCAAAGTGAAATTCGATGCACTGGTAAGTCCTTAATCGGTAACATTGTTGACTGAGTTGGAATCTCGGGTCGGACCAAACTCAGTTATTGGTTTTTTCTACCAAGAAATACTAAGCAGCAACCAGGAGTCAGGATGTTGGCGGTGTCTCACCCCCGTATCTCGGAAAGTACGTAAAGCCGTTAGTCCTGGTGTAATCTCTTTCCATTTCCGTCCCATCGAACCATAAGAGTGATGGAATAGGGAGTGCACCTGTGCTTGCGCATACACACGCGTAGGTACTATAATCCCGTCCAGTGGAGATTAGCCGCCGTGACCGAATTTCGGTCTGGAGAACATTATTATCATTATTTAATATTTTATGACGAGAATAATTTATCTTATACATTGAAACCTGGATAACTGGGATCTTAAGGGACCTGCGAATTTGTCTGACTTAATGAGGTATTCCACTTACCCAGTGTCTCAGATATTCAGGTACAAATAAATATCTGTCTCATTTACAGAGGGTTCCATTAATAGAGGTGAGAATAGAGGTTATTTCAGTTATTTCAGAGGTGCGATTATTAAATAAAATAACGTATTTTGTAAACATTATACATGAGTTTAATTTAATTAGCCAAGTGCGGAATTTGCGGGTAGAATAAGAATTAGTAAACAAAACGGTACACAAAATATAGTCTCAGTAAAAGATGTGAAATATACTCGCTGTCTCAATCATAGAGGTAATTATGACAAATGAAAGAACTAATCCCAGATATAGCGGTTTGTTTTATTCCACTAACAGAGGTAACTCATTGCTAGTGTCGGGACCTAAACATGAGTTCCAGCTATGAAGGTTTCTCACTTATTCCGGTCCCACTTAATCAAGTTTTACTGTATTAGTTAATTTTATAACCTTGGAGGCAACCAACCCTAACGGGTGATACAAGTACCGAATTAAAAATATTATATGAAGAAACACTAGCCGCTATATAACTGACCCAGTCTTACTATGTGAAATTAAGTACTCAAAATCGCACAGACTGTCCTGACTTTTTGACAAGTTAGTTAATACAGTAATTTAAAAAACATGACTGTGTTAAAAATTTTACTGAAAAAATCTTTCCCCTGTTTTTTTTTTATTGACAGATTGTTTTATATAGGATAGGGTGACAAACTAGCACACAGCCCACCTGATGGTAAGTGGTTACTGTGATCCATAGACATCTACATTTATCCTCAATAAAGAATCAAAATGCAGATGCGTCGTCACCCGTGAGGACTAAGATGGATTGCCTCTTTTCCTGTAAAATGGGTATTCGGTTCTGTACACTCACCATACAAAACACAGCAGCGTTAAGTTGCTATTTTACGCTAGTATTCTGTGAGAGCGTGGTCCTTCCCTGGTCGAGACGACCCATCCGTGCTACAACTATACTACTTATATAGCTGCAGCATGGCTCTACCACGCAGATGCAATAAATAAATATTACATAGCCTTTGTCACTCCCACAATCAAACGAACCTTACGAGAGCTCGTATTTTAAAATCCATTCCACGTTTAGGCTTCAGAGCGTACCAAAAAGTAGACATACGTTAAATATACTACTTTCGAAAAACTTTAACATTCTTTTTTATCGAATAAGAGTGACAAACGAGCACACAGTCCACTTGATGGTAAGTGGTTGCTGTGGCCCATAGACATCTACATCTATCCTCGATTAAAAATCAAGATGCAGATGCGTTGTCACTCCTGAGGACTACGATGGAATGCCTCATTTCCAGTAAAAAGGTTCTTCGGTTCTCTACAATCACCATACCAAACACAACTGCATTAAGCTGCTATTTTACGCTGGTATTCTGTAAGAGCGTGGTAGGCGCTAGGCGTATAGTTGCAGCATGGCTCCACCACGTGCTTCTTGGGCAGTCAAATTAAAAGAAAAATTATATATCTGAGTACCCTCTCGTTCACTCCGTTATAACAATCCTTTACCTGTATCTTTATGTTGATCAAATTACAGGCGAAACTCATTCCGGGGCATTAACAAAACATTAGCACCCAAATTTACTAAGAGACACTCTTGTAGTTTTTTAATACAATAAACGAGTCCAAGGTATGACTTTCCATTCCCTCTCAGCACGTCCCCAGCGCGACGCTGCACTCTGATACATTGACGTCAGTCGAGTTTGGTGTTGAACGTATTTTTACAGAAAGATTACATTTTTATAAGCAAATTATTTGATTTTCAATAATTTTTTTCTCAAAAATTACGCGTTTCCGCATGTTAAAACTTTGTGTGTGTGCTTATAATAGTGTAACTTTTCTGTAAAAATACGTATCAACACCTAACTCAACTGACGTCAATGGAAAGCTAAGCCGAGTCCAATATCGGATTTCACCTCACGAATTTTTATGCTCGTATTCCGTAACCTTCACGACTAGTGTCTTATGTTGATTCATTATGATCGATTAATATTCTTACTAAATGTTTCCTTATCTACTGCATAAATAACGCTAATACTAAATGTTCTTACGATCTTTTAGATGATAAAGGACCTCAAAGACCGCCTCAAAGCCCATCGTCCTTTCGTCCCGGCTCTCGAAGGTATAGCCTTCGAGTACGGCTTCAACAGCAAACAAATGAACAGTTGGATCAAATACTGGTCCGAGGAGTACCCATTTAGCGAGCGCGAGAAAGTCTTCAACCAGTACCCGCAGTTCAAGACCAACATCCAGGGCTTGGACATTCACTTCATCAGGTACAAGCCCCAGGTAATCATTCGCATAGCATTATCTACTTTTTTTTAACTGTAATAATATATTTCATTTACGGCCTGTATTAAAATTATATCTTATAACTAAGAATGAGACATCACAAAGTATCATAGTGAAATATGTTTTCATTACTGTAACACTCTTTCTTTCTTATTAGCCGACTTCAAAAAAAGGAAGAAGTCAAACTAATGTTAGGATCTATGAAATAGTAATACAAAAAATGTCAATAAATAAATATAATACATTATGTCAAATATTAATAATAAATAGAGAAGATAGTCTGCAATAAATATTTTTAATAGATTGTATATTTGGACGCGTAATAAGTAAAATTAAACGCGATAAAATTCGTAAAATTTGTTTTATTCAATTTGTAAATTTACTTATAAAACAAAATTAATTATTGAAACATAACTACAATGCAGTTGAATTGAGAAACTCCATTTTCTACCGACTTCAAAAAGGAAACGATACTCAATTCGACTGAATGTTTTTTTATGTGTGTTCCCTCAAAACTTTTTACTGGGTGAACCGATTTCGATGATTCTTTCTTTATTTGGAAACTGGTGCTTCACATAGGTTAAGGTTTGACCAATAGCTTTTGAGCTATTCTTAATAAGTTATATTGAAGTCGGTTGTACAAAAAATTTAATTTTAAATCATAAATATGATCTTTGTGGACATTAGGTACCAGCTAACGTCGAAATTGTCCCACTGATGCTTCTCCACGGATGGCCGGGCTCTGTGCGAGAGTTTGATGCTGCGATTCCCCTCCTGACAGCTGTCAGTAAGGAGAGAAACTTCGCGCTCGAGGTCATCATACCCAGTCTTCCGGGCTATGGTTTCTCCGATGTAAGTACATTATATGGTGTTTTTTTTAAAGAATTAGTAACGCCATTTAAATTACTAATATTCCCTTTAACAGCTCTAAAGAACAAAATTTTTTTATACCACTCATTCACCATTCACAGTGATGGTAAGTGCATGCTGAGGCCCATATACATCTCCATTTGTTCCCGATTAAGAATCAAAATACAAGTGCGTTGTGTGAGGACTAAGATGAAATGCCTCGCTTCCAGTAATAAACGGTCTTCGGGTCTCTACACTCACCATACGAAACACAGCAGCATTAAGCTGCTATTTTACGCTGATATTCTGTGAGAGCGTGATCCTTCCCCGGTCGAACCTACCCATTAGTGCCACAACTATAATATGCCTGTAGCATAGCTCTACCACATATAATGCTTGTGTTAAGCACAGTAGTCGAATGGCGGATTCGAATCCACGTATCTCTGATCACAGTCAATATGCGCCCACATACCTTGTGGTGGCGGTCTAAAGGAATCCTTCTCCGCTATTGTCCTGTGGGCCTCGTAAGAGGTGGCTATAGGAAATGCCGAAATTATCTAACAGCTGCCGCTAGATGGCGGTATGATCATCTCGTTATCGCGAGGCGTAAAATGCCCACACCAACGTTGAGCAGCTGTGTCAAATGGGCGTGACGTCTGGTACTTTGATTGTCTATCCAACTAGCAAGCGTGATTATTAAAATAGAGCCTCCTTACAATGTTATTTGCACGTGGTAGAGCCATGGTGCAGCTATATTATAGTTGCGTCGGCTCGGTTGGGGTAGGACCACGCTAGGGGTGTAGTAGGTCCGGTAGGGAGAATACCAGCGTGAAATAGCAGCTTAATGCTGCTGTATTTCGTATTGTGAATGTAGGGAATTCTATTTCATCTTAGTCCTCATGGGTGACAACGCATCTGCATTTTTTTATCTTTTAAAAATACGTTACCTCCACACTAGGATTTTCTCCTGTATCGCGGAGGCAGTTTACAAGCATATATTGCACGAAGACAAATATCCAGACCCGGAACAATTATTTGTAGACCATACAAATACTTGTTCCGCGCGGGATTCGAACCCGCGGCCTCCATCGCAATAACTCATTGTAAAGCCGCTGCGCCACGGAGCCGTCGATTTTGATTCTTACTCGAGAATAAATGTACATAGATGTTTACGGGCCACAGCATCCTTTTACCATCAAGTGAACTGTGTGCTCGTTTGTCACCCTTATATTATATATAAATGTCCATCAGTAGTCTTTCATGTGCTGCTGAAAAATTAAAAAGAAAATATTTCTTGCTAAGCGGGGTGTAAGTAGCTCGCTGCTCATTCCAGGCGTAATTTATGAATTTGGAACACCTCCACGATAAATGAGGATATCGTCATAATATTATTATGTTCACAAAGGGAAGAAACCAAAACAAACATAGCTATAAAAGTCAATATTTTTCTAGGCGGCAGTACGCCCAGGTCTTGGAGCGGATAAAGTGGCTGTGGTATTAAGAAATCTAATGAATAGACTCGGTTTCAAGAAGTATTATATCCAAGGAGGTGACTGGGGTGCAATCATCGCCAGCAACATGGCAACTATGTTCCCTCAGGTAATATACAAAAATCGAGAAAATTCTTTACCATAGTAATTTATTATTTACACATTCAAATACACATTGCATGAAACTAATTTTACGGATTTTGTCGCGTTTAATTTCGATTGTTTTAACTTTTTTAATTCCGTTTTTGGATGAAACTAATTTTACGCATTATATCGCGTTTAATTTCAATTGTTTTAACTTTTGAAATTCCGATTCTAGTAGTAGATGTAAATATTTTACGTATTTTATCGCGTTTATTCTGTTTTAACTTTTTTAATTCCGTTTTTGGATGAAACTAATTTTACGCATTATATCGCGTTTAATTTCAAATGTTTTAACTTTTGAAATTCCGATTCTAGTAGTAGATGTAAATATTTTACGTATTTTATCGCGTTTATTCTGTTTTAACTTTTTTAATTCCGTTTTTGGATTAAACTAATTTTACGCATTATATCGCGTTTAATTTCAAATGTTTTAACTTTTGAAATTCCGATTCTAGTAGTAGATGTAAATATTTTACGTATTTTATCTCGTTTATTCTGTTTTAATTTTTTAATTCCGTTTTTGGATTAAACTAATTTAACGCATTATATCGCGTTTAATTTCAAATGTTTTAACTTTTGAAATTCCGATTCTAGTAGTAGATGTAAATATTTTACGTATTTTATCGCGCTTATTCTGTTTTAACTTTTTTAATTCCGTTTTTGGATTAAACTAATTTTACAGATTTTATCGCGTTTAATTTCCACTTTATAACTTTTCTATTTTCCGATTCTAAATGAAACAAATTTTACGGATTTTATTGCGTTTTAACTCTCATTTAAAGTCATATCAATGGAAAACGGATGAAGCGTAGAGAAAAGGGGTCTAAAATGGTTGATATTATAAAGGCATTAGCAGACAAGTTTTATAAGTGCTGCTTAGTTTAGCCTGTAACTCGCTGTGGATTTCACAAAACGCGAGAAAACGGAGTTTGAATCACGCCGGCACCAATAAAATAATAATTAGTTACAATTTTAAGATCTGAAGACTAAGACGGGATACCTCACAGTAGGCTTGGGAAAAAATATCGATATTTTAAATAAAAATGTCGATATATAACGTCTATATTTTATATCACGATATATCCCGCTGGGTTTCTTGCTGGTTCTTCCCAGGACAGAGGTATTTTCCGAACCAGTGGTAAATAAAATAATGACTTTCAATAAGTATTATGTAATAATCCATATTGAATAAAAGTCATTCTATTCTATTCTATTCTATCGATATAACAATGTTTATTTTAGAGTATCGAATTCGTATCAATTTGGATATATTTTAAAAGATTGTATAAATGACAAAATATGTAACAAAAAAAGGTGGTTGGTTGTCGTTTTTTCTTTCGTCGTCCAATCGTCAGTAATATAAAATTTTAGACCTTATCTTTACATCATGCAAATGATGACGATATATCGATATTTATCACGCGATATATATCGATATCGATACTGTTTAGAAATATCGGTTCGATCTACATCTGTATATTTTTCCCTTGCACATCCCTACCTCACAGACTGTGATTATATTGGCTCTTTTTACACTTCAGACTAGAACACGCCAGTGCTATTTGGCGGCAGATGTAGGCAAGAGGTCCAGACGGATGCCTAGGTAGAAAAGAATCAAGATACAAGCTGTAAATTTACTAACTTTACTATATATCCATTTTTATTTTCAGGAGGTACTTGGCTATCACACAAATATGGCTTTCTCTATGTCTTCAAGAACGACTCTCATCCAAACTTTCGGGGCCATCTATCCGCCTTCAGTGGTGAGATCTGACCTGGTAGATCGAATGTACCCAATGTCCAAAATATTCGGGACTCTTTTGGAAGAGTTGGGTTACATGCACATCCAAGCTACCAAACCTGACACAGTTGGTAAGTGGATACCAAAATAAATAACGATATATTGTATTTGTAGGAGAAAGGGGTGCATGCTGAATAAGAAGTCAAGGATTACAAGATAATATTTATTATTTAGTTTTATAATTGTAAATTGCCCTGGCTTTTATAATTAATGATAATAATTAATTTCAAATTAATTATCCGTAAACGTCTAGGATAAGCTAGCTCCGTTTTTTTTTTCGCCATTCAATAGAATATTATTTTATTCTCATGGTTATTATAATAAAATACGGATATAAATAATAAACACAAATTAGATAACAAAGAAACTTTCACTGCGGCGCTACGTTTTAAAATGCCAAATTCTCTTGCGGGTGTACAACGCATCCGGCGACCTTTGACAATATGCGGCACGTTCCGAGGCGGCGCGCCTCAAGGGCGACCGTATCTAAGCGAAAAAACTATAATGTGCCTAAGAAAACGTTGTCAATATTTATGTGCTTTGTCAATGTGATTGATTTGATGTTTATTTCAGATAAGTATGTAAGATTATTTCGTATTTGTCTAAAATAGTGACTGTTGTTGTCGTTGTTTACTGAACCAGCTACTCGTACACGCTCACAGCTGTGACGAAATATATTTGTTCTGAATTGCCCGTCTAATAGTATATATTATACGTGGTAGAGCCATGCTGCATCTATATTATACGTGGTAGAGCCATGCTGCATCTATATTATACGTGGTAGAGCCATGCTGCATCTATATTATGGTTGTAGCACGAATGGTATACGTGGTAGAGCCATGCTGCATCTATATTATGGTTGTAGCACGAATGGGTCGGCTCGACCGGGGAAGGACCACGCTCTCACAGAATACCAGCGTAAAATAGCAGCTTAACGCTGCTGTGTTTCGTATGGTGAGTGTAGAGAACCGGAGACCCTTTTTACTGGTAACGAGGCATTCCATCTTAGTCCTCACGGGTGACAACGCATCTACATTTTGATTCGTAATCGAGGATAAATGTAGATGTCTATGGGCCACAGCGACCACTTACCATCAGGTGGACTGTGTGCTCGTTTGTCACCCTTACCATATAAAAAAAAAAAATATATAGAAAGAAATCTTTGTTTACAAGTAAATTGGCCATTGCAGTTCCTGATGTGTGATGTTATTGGTGCGGTTATTTTCAAGTATTTTTTTTACAGAATAACAATGACAAACGAGTACACAGTCCACCTGATGATAATTTTAACAGTGGTAGAGCTAAGCGGTAGCTTTTACTGTCGCACGGATGGGCTCGAACCGGGGTGGTACCACGACCTCACAGAATACCAGCCTGAAGTAGAGCTTTACGTCTGCGTTGCGCTTGGTGAGTGCAAGTGGCCGGAGGCCCAATCCCCCCCATCAACATGGTAGTGGAATTAAATAAAAGACTACCCCAGGAGGGTACCAGTAACCCTGGAGAATCCCTCGCTGAGCATCCACGACCAAACTACTTCACTCCTGAGCGTGGGTGCTCAGGCTGCCCCGCGTATTCTGGGGGGGGGGGGGGGGGGGGTAAAATTCCGCTCGCGACTAATGCTGCTCGGGGCAAGCGGAGCAATACAACCAAGGCGACCCCTGTCACGCTATCCGTGAATTTTTGCAACATCAGGGGACTTCATTCCAACGTTAACGCTGTCCATTACCGTCCTAGAGACGGCGAAGCCGGTCTTGCTCTTTTTAACCGAGACTCAGGTGTCCTCTCCGGTTGATATTTGATATCTCTCCTACCCGGGGTACAAATTGAACACTCCTTTGTGCCCCGGGCTCGAGTTTGCGTATACGTCAGAGAGGACATCTGTTTTCGACGCCTCGGCGGTCTTGAAAGTACGGACCTGTCCATCCTGTGGCTGCGCGTAGACAGCGACGACCATCCCCGCGTCTACGGGTGCCTCTATAGGTCCCACAGCGGTAATGCCGACACAGACCGACTCATCGACCACGTCCAAATGGCTGCAGACTCCGTGCTACAACAGGTCCCATCCGAAGAGATCATGATACTCGGTGATTTTAACGCCCACCACGTTGAATGGCTTGGTTCTCGTTTGACCGATCATGCGGGTAGATCTGTCTATGACTTTGCTTTGGTATATGGTCTAACACAACTGGTTACTTCGCCTACGCGGATCAGAGATGTGGAAAACCATGTACCTTCCCTGTTGGACCTTCTGCTGACCTCATCCGGACGGATATCATCTCTCCCTCGATGCCCCTCTGGGCTCTTCGGACCATTGTCTGATCCGGAGTACGGTGCCACTCACGCTCCAATCGCAGTTGCGCTCTGCAGCTTGCCGCCGTGTTTGGCACTATAGGTCAGCTGATTGGGACGGGATGCGGTCTTTTTTCGCATCCTACCCTTGGGGGCGGGTTTGCTTCTCGCTGGAAGATGCCAGCGTTGTTGCCGATTCTGTTGCTGATGTGGTACTTCAGGGTATGGAAATGTTTATTCCATCCTCTGTGGTGCCCATCGGAGGCAGATCCCAGCCATGGTTTGGTCGCTCCTGTAAAATAGCATCACGCTATAAGCAGGAATGCTACCGAGCCTGGGCTGACGCATCAACGTCTCGAGATGTAAACACCAGCGCACTTAAAAAGAAGTATAACTCCGCCTCCAGGTCCTTCAAAAGCATCATTGCCAAGGCAAGGTCTGAGCACATCGGCAGAATTGGCGAGAAGCTAGTTCGCCTTCCTTCGGGAACCCGTGCATTCTGGTCTCTCGCCAAGGCTGTCCAAGGGAACTTCTGTCAGCCATCTCTTCCATCTCTGCACAGAGAGGACGACTCACTGGCTCATGCCGCAAAGGAGAAAGCCGATCTGTTGAGCTCTCTTTTTGCGTCCAACTCGACTCTAGATGACGCGGGGAACACACCGCCGACCATCCCGCGATGTGAGTGCTCCATGTGCGGATGTGCGGTTTACACAGGGCTCGGTTCGCAAAGCACTCTTCTCCCTGGACGACAGCAAGTCGAATGGGCCGGATGGAGTCCCTTCCATTGTGCTGAAGACGTGTGCTCCGGAGTGTTGTGTAATGAATTGTGCAAATGGATCACCAGTTTCCTTGCTGATCGGAGCATCAAGGTCGTAGTAGACGGTGCATGCTCTGATAACGCTGGTGTTCCACAAGGCTGCGTGCTATCACCAACGCTGTTTCTCCTGCATATCAATGATATGTTGCTAACTGGTAGCATTCATTGCTATGCAGATGACAGCACTGGTGATGCCTTATATACCGGCCGTGCCAATATTTCTCGGGAAAACGTCACCGAGTACCGGGACAAACTTTTGGCTGAAGTCGAGTCTTTGCTTAACAAAGTCTCGGATTGGGGCCGACTAAATCTAGTCCAGTTCAATCCCCAGAAGACACAAGTTTGCACGTTTACCGCTAAAAAGAACCCCTTTGTCGTATCTCCTCAGTTTCAAGGTATTCCCCTTGCTGCCTCAGCTAGTATCGGAATCCTTGGCGTCGACATTTCGAATACTGTGCAGTTTCGTGGTTACTTGGAAGGGAAGGCCAAATTGGCCTCTAAAAAGCTTGGCGTGCTCAGCAGAGCGAGACAGTATTTCATGCCGGCACATCGCTTGCAACTTTACAAAGCGCAAGTTCGGCCCCACATGGAATACTGTTCTCATCTCTTGGCCGGGGCACCCCAGTGCCAGCTCCTTCCACTTGACCGCATCCATGATGCGGTCGACGATTCGAACCGCTCGAGCGGTTCGAATCGTCGACGACCGAGTTCTTTCTGATCGGCTCGGTACAATGGCACTGCATAGAGGTGTTGCATCTCTTTGCGTATTTTATCGCATCTATCTCTGAGGAATTGTTCGGACTAATTCCAGCCGCTCAATTTCACCATCGTACATCGAGACAAAACTCGCGTTACCATCCATACCATCTGGATGATTGGCGGTCCACCACTGTGCGATTAAGAAGAAGTTTTCTCCAGAAATTTTCCGGACCGATACGACTTAGGAACCTTCAAGAAAAGAGCTTTCTAAAAGGCCGGCAACGCATCTGCAATTCCCCTGGTGTTGCGGTTGTTCATGGGCGGCGGTAGTCATTTACCATCCGGTGAGCCGCATGCTCGTTTGCCCCCTCTTCTATAAAAAAAAAGTGAATGCAGTGAAACATAGACATCTACATTTATCCTTCATTATAATTAGTATTGCAGATGCGTCGTCACCCTTGAGAACTAAGATGGAATGCCTCGTTTCCAGTAAAAAGGAGTCTCCGGTTCTCTACACCCACCATACGAAACAGCAGTACTAAGCTGCTGTTTCACGCTGGTATTATGTGAGAGCGGGGTCCTTCCCCGGTCGAGCCGACTCATTCGAGCTACAACTATAAGACGGCTCCGTAGCGCAGTGACTTAGCAATGAGTTCCAGCGCTGGGGGTCGCGGGTTCGAATCCCATACTGAAGAAGTATTTTATGGCCTACAAATAATTGTTCCGGGTCTGGATGAAAATAAACTATAATAATAAAGCTAAAACTTATATACTATTGAAACTAACCGCACCATCACCTGTTGACACCAAACTCATCAACGCCTCATCATCATCATCATTACAGCCCTTCACAAGTCCACTGCTGAACATATGCCTCCTCCAAGGAATGCCACAAAGCACGGTCCTGAGCCGTCTACATCCATCGACTTCCTACATATCTTACCAGGTCTTCACTCCATCTAGTGGGGGGACGCCCTACACTTCGTCTGCCGGTACGAGGCCGCCACTCGAGACCCTTTTTTCCCCAACGGTTGTCGGTTCTTCGAGCTATATGGCAGGCCCATTGCCACTTCAGCTTACTAATCCGTTGGGCTATGTTGGTTACTCTGGTTCTACTGCGGATATCCTCATTTCTAAGTATATCCCGCAGAGAAACTCCGAACATAGCCCTCTCCATAGCTCGCTGAGCGATCTTGTGCTTCCTCATCCGGCCAGCAGTGAAGGACCACATCTCAGTACCATAGGTCATCACTGGCAACACGCATT